TTTCAGAAGGCATACTTTCAGTGTCAGTTTCTTCACCAACTGCAAATATAGTGGTCCCTAACAAAAGCTAAAACTGATTTCTTTTGAATTTAATGTTCTAGTTCATGTAGCAATCTTTGGAAATGTGCAGAGCAGTATCTGTGAGACAGCCTGTTTGTCCTGTGATTCAGCAGGTGGCAGTATTTACTAAGTGAATGGCCTTAGAAGTTAACAGTTGAGACTAGTGTTTGGATGGCAGACCAAAGAGAAGTGGAAACTTGCCATGCATTTGTGGTCTTGCTCCTGGTATAAAGGATGGGGGGGAGAAGTGCTGCATTTCCCCACTTCTGAAGTTAAAAGCTACCAACGTAGGTTTTTTGTGTAGGCATACTGTAGTGTTTTTATACTTGATTTTGCAATAGAAATATGGTTATAAGCCATTGTCAAAATCCTGCTTTTCTTTGGACCAAGCTATTCACTAGTGCCTAACTGAAAGCATGTTAGGCAATATAATGAGATGTCATGAGAAAGTAAAACAAATTCCTCATATTTAATATATTAGATGTTTTGTTATAGTATTAATTCACTATGTCAACTATTTCAACATGAAGAGTGGCCAGTTAAATAGGACTCAGAAAAGTATCTTGAAGTAGGGCAATTTCTATGGGTAAGATGAGAATTCAAATGCACATAGAAAATCCTGGACACCCAACTTAATTATAATGCAAATAAAGGGATAACCACTTGACTTTAGTCCTGATAAAAACAATGCTCTGATCAATGAAATTGAGAGGACAAAGAGATAGATTTGACTACTTCAGAGCTGATAGGTCAAATGTCCATTGTCCATTATACATTCTTGGCATTTACTGATTATCTCATTCAAGTTGTGGTAAAACACGGCTGCACATCTAAGATTTTGGAGAATACTGTAGACTTTGACTTGAGCAAGCCATTCCCTGCCCTCTCCTCTCCTGACATTCTATTTTGTAAGTAAATTGCATATCTCTATTTCTTCCACACAGGTGGAAGAACACGTGAATTGCATCGGCAATTTACAATATCAAACACTGTGTTCAGATTCTCAGTTATATTGCAGTGCTTCTATTTACTTTTCAGTGGTGGCTTCTGGTGATATAAAGACAGAACCTCGAGCTAGAAACTCAATCTTGAAGTAACTGTACATGTTCTGATGACATTCATTTCCTGTGTTCCAAGAACATTTTCACTTGAAATGGTTGAAAAACAACAATTGCTGGCTACTAAATCCTAGCTCAGATGGAGATTTTAAGGAAACTCCAAGCAGTTAAGTGAAACTCCCTTATGACTATCAAGTTCTACTACCTCCTTAATAGACAAGCTGTATATTTCAGCAGGTGGCAGCACCTGGCTATCTTGGCAGAGGTTTGAAAATAAGCAGGAAATGTCCTCATTAACACTTAGATCTTCCAGGAATCCCAGGGTTATAAGGAAATTGAAATAAGGCAGTGGCAAACCACTTTTGAACTCTTGGCAAGAGAACTACATATATTAAATTTTAGTTACAATGTTTAAGAAACTTAAAACTTTTCCATTTGTTTTTAAGTGTTACATAATGGTATACAGCAGATTCATAGATCACAACAAAGGAAAGTTTTTATTCACAATTCTTTGCCTAAAACTGGCAAAGTAAAATTCAGGATAAGACCGAGTAATGCATTATATAGGCTATTCAGTAAATCAGTCTTCTACCATTAGTGACTACTATTCATGTGAGATTACTTTTAATATGTTACATATGTTTTTGGTTGTCTCAGAATGGTTTGTTCTTATTTTAACCACCATTCATTCAGCTACCATCCAAATGGCCCTGAATGTACTTAAAATTGGTCCTGAGTTCTTGCCACCACAGTATCCCACAATCACAAGGTGCTAGTTTCTGACAAGTCAATGGAGAAGCCAGCAGAGATCCCAAACGATGGGCATGTGACATCCTCACTTAACCTGGAGTGATTTGCTTGATGGCAACCTGGAATGCCTGAATGTTAAATTACTAAGTGGTGCAGTCACGTGATACCACACTTTATGACCTAGGTTGCTTACTGACAGCAATTCAGGTCCCATTAACAGAGGACTACTGTGTCTTAAAAAGGTGGACAAACTCTCAAGGCTAAGACTCAGCTGAATTTTGGATCCATGGAGAAAAAGGTGTTTGAGGGCACATCACAGTCCCCAAATCCAACCACAATGTGGTTTTCCCAGTTTTCCCAAGAGTGTGCAATTGTCCTCTGAAGCTGCACCACTTTTCTAAAGCAAATGTGTTGAATTTAAAGAACTGCAGACAGAAGCCACGTACACACTTCTGCATCTTTCTGCCTTTGAATCTGAAGCCCAGCACAATTCTCCATGTTTGCTCCTGACCTCCACTACCCTACCACCAATTGCCTGATTTACCAATGGTGCAATCACTAGCAAGTTCTTGAAAAACCTTTGCTGCGAGGGCCAATGATTACCCTATTTTCTTAGCATAGAAGCTGCAGTACCAAATACCCTGGTTTCTGTATGACAAGGGATTATGGTAATTGGGCCTTTCAAGAAACTATCCCTTCTTTGATATCTCACAACGCCTTCTCAGAAGAGAAATTAGAATTTTATTATGCTGTTGTCACTTTTCATTTCAATTCCATTTTCATATGAAACCATACATGTAAAATTTCCAGCTGTGCTTTAGGGATTTGTTTTTTAAATGCTGTTTGATTTAAAAGTTGAAAAAAGATAATTCAAACACTTAAAACATATTTCATAAATAATACTGGAGTAACCTTCATATCATAGGGGTTTTTTTAACCATCATTTGTAGACAAACCAGAGTAACTTCTTTTATACATCATGCAATTATCATTGGTAGAGCTATATCATATAACATTAAAAATAATATACAGGTGAAACTCAAAAAATTAGAATATCGTGCAAAAGTTCATTGATTTCAGTAATGCAACTTAAAAGGTGAAACTAATATATGAGATAGACTCATTACATGCAAAGCCAGATAGTTCAAGCCGTGATTTGTCATAATTGTGATGATTATGGCTTACAGCTCATGAAAACTCCAAATTCACAATCTCAGAAAATTAGAATATTATATGCAATCAATAAAACAAGGATTGTACATAGAACAATATCAGACCTCTGAAAAGTATAAGCATGCATATGTACTCAGTACTTGGTTTGGGCCCCTTTTGCAGCAATTACTGCCTCAGTGCAGCGTGGCATGGAAGCTATCAGCCTGTGGCACTGCTGAGATGTTATGGACGACCAGGATGCTTCAATAGCAGCCTTCAGGTCTTCTACATTGTTCGGTCTCATGTCTCTCGTCTTTCTCTTGGCAATGCCCCATAGATTCTCTATGGGGTTCAGGTCAGGTGAGTTTGCTGGCCAATCAAGCACAGTAATCCCATGGTCATTGAACCAGGTTTTGGTGCTTTTGGCAGTGGGGCAGGTGCCAAGTCCTGCTGGAAAATGAAGTCAGCATCCCCATAAAGCTTGTCTGCAGAAGGAAGCATGAAGTGCTCCAAAATCTCCTGGTAGACAGCTGCGTTGACCCTGGACTTAATGAAGCATAGTGGACCAACACCAGCAGATGACATGGCTCCCCAAATCAACACAGGCTGTGGAAACTTCACACTGGACTTCAAGCACCTTGCAGTGTGTGCCTCTCCATTCTTCCTCCAGACTCTGGGTCCTTGGTTTCCAAATGAGATGCAAAAGTTGCTCTCATCGGAAAAGGGGACTTTGGACCACTGAGCAAGAGACCAGTTCTGTTTTTCTTTAGCTCAGGTAAGACACTTCTGACGTTGTTTGTTGTTCAGGAGCGGCCTGACAAGATGAATACGACATTTGAAGCCCATGTCCAGGATCCGTCTGTGTGTGGTGGCCTTGATGCACTGACTCCAGCCTCAGTCCACTCCTTGTGAAAGTCCCCAACACTTTTGAATGGTCTTTTCCTGACAATTCTCCCCAGGCTGCGGTCATCCTTGCTGCTTGTGCACCTTTTTCTTCCACACTTTTCCCTTCCACATAACTTTCTATTAATGTGCTTTGATACAGCACTTTGGGAACAGCCAACTTCTTTTGCAATTACCTTTTGAGGCTTTCCCTCCTTATGGAGGATGTCAGTGAGGGTTTTCTGCACAACTGTCAGGTCAGCAGTCTTTCCCATGATTGTGATTCCTACTGAACCAGAGTGAGAGACCATTTAAAGGCTCAGGAACCCTTTGCAGGTGTTATGGCTTAATTAGCTGATTAGAGTGGGACACTTTGAGCCTAGAATATTGAATCTTTTCACAATATTCTAATTTTCTGAGATTGTGGGTTTGGGGTTTTCATGAGCTGTAAGCCATAATCATCTCAATTATGACAAATCACGGCTTGAACTATCTTGCTTTGCATGTAATGAGTCTATCTTATCTATTAGTTTCACCTTTTAAGTTGCATTACTGAAATAAATGAACTTTTGCATGATATTCTAATTTTTCGAGTTTCACCTGTAATCTGTAAACCAGGGAGAGACTTGAAAGTATTTTGGAGGAGCAAGATTGTAATAAAAGCAACTTATATTATATATAGTTAGGTTAATAAGCGTCAGTATAAAGTATATATAGAAATTAAGAATCTGAATGTTCCAATATTCTAATAGAATGTTTTATATTATTTCTGTGAGCTTTAATAGAAATTACTTTTTGTTCACAATAGCTGTTTTCCTTTTTAATGATAGGAATCAGCATGAGAATGAAAACAATTTTAATTTGGATTTTTGAAAATATATAAACTATAGAGGATTACATTTCAAAAGGTTTGGTTTAATATTTTACATCTTTTGTTCAAATTTCATTTCTGTTCAGTTCCTATTTTGTACAATCAGCTATAGATACATATCGTCTCCAAAAATATTTTATAGCGATAAAATGAAGCAGAATGTTTGCTAGAAATTACTGTAATTAATATTAGTTTGTAAGCTATCCATTAGTTTTTTTCTCCCTCTAATATGCCTCAGAGTTTGTTTTATTACAAGAAAATATACTTGTTAGTTCTCTCTCCGACAAAAATTCTGAACAAATAATTTGGGGTCTTTAAAATTATTTCCCAATTATAACTAAATTTTAATATTCTAAATGTTTTGATCAACTACTTTGTGGAATGAGTGTCATGCTCACAACCTGTTTTTTGTTATTTTGCCTGACTAGTTTTAGTTCATAAGGTATTTATAAAATAAGCACAGAAATCAACTCAAACTACATAACAGTTAGATGCAAAAATGAATGTGTGGGACCATATATGGTTTATTAATTGTCACATATGTAGAATCCAATTTCTACAGATGCTTTTACACGTACAGCTCAAACATGTATGACTGTGATTTTCCAAGTATGAGTAGACTTCATCTCCTATAATTCCTAGAACGGATAAAGTTTTGAAATAGGTCCTATACTTCTCAAGATCCAGATTCCCAACAGCTGGTTTATAGGCAGGAGAAAAATGCATTCATTTGTATACTTAATAAAAACCAAATTACATATACCAAATCTCATCACTTGACTTATTTCAAATGAGCTTGAAAAAGTCAAATTAGGAATTTTGGGCAACTGTTACTGATCAGAGGGACTAATACTGAGTTAGATCCAATGATGTGAGTTCACTATGAGACAGCTTACTATATGTTTACTGTCCCCAGTTGTTGTGAATACGCAGTCACTGATGCTATCACATTTCAAATCCTCTGAAGAATGTGCACCATTTGCTATTAGAAGTTCATTTAAACACTTCAGTATATAAGCAGCCAAGCAATTATGCCAGGAGATGCAGACTCTGAATTTGCAACAAACCAAAGCAGCATAGGCAAGGATGAGGGATGCTGGGAACTGTAATTCAGCAACTGAGAAACCCAAGTGAAATCATGGTTTAATTCTTAAACAATGTTAAATAATACTGATTTCATAGATTTTTTTTAAAGTAAACAACTTCTAAATCAATTGCTCCATTTTTAAGACATTATAGGGGAATACATTTAATGAATTTAGGCAGCAAGCAGTTCCGACACTGGAATGAAATTTCCACTGAATAAAGGATCAGAGTATCAATTAAGGCTGCAGAAAGCATAAAAAAGAAGCAGTTTTAAGGTGTATTAAGAAGGATCTCTCTCAAAGAGTTACAACATTTCTGTAATTGCAAGGCTCATGTGGATCTTTCAAAAACTAAAGCCTTCCTCAGATTCCATTCTGAACCTTGAATCTGTGTATGCCTAAATTTATATGGCCATGCATCTCACACAAATGATTTTGAGCTGCTTGCAAAGATTAAAAACAAAATGCTAAATTAATGCCTAAACTATGCAAGTTATTTTCTCCAGTAAATTTCTGTAGCTCCTTCACTCCTTCACGCTAAAGGTCATGCGATATTAAATTAGGTTCTACATATAGAAACCAGAGAGACATGAATTACATCTTTTTTGCTTGCTTTCTTACTGCATAAATCCCCTAGCTTCTTTAAAAAAATTACCAAGGTTCTTTTTGTTCAAGTTTCTCATTGTAGTTATGTTTACCTATTTCAGAGATGGCTATGAAGCTCTACCTTCCTTCATGATTGCTGAAAGCTTCTATGTATTGTCAACATAAAACATCTACTTTGGGCTTGAGCAAATTTTGGTCCTCCAATGAGGATTCTGAAACACCTGTTAGCTAGCATATGCCTATGATCCCTGGGGCTGACATTCAGCAGCATCTGGAAGGTTACATACTGCCCATTCCTGTTCAAAATGAAATCTACAGGTTCCAGATTGTTGTATGCATAAAAATAGGCATCTGTCAAATCTACATCCCCAAAGAATGCTTTGTTACTGAAAGCTCTGTTTCTGAAAATTATGACATCTCCATTTGCATTTAGGATAGATGACACTGAACCTCGTCCATTCTTTGGTTGTTGGAAGAGCAATCTGTGGTGTTTTAATTTGTCTTGCCAGATCCCATAAACATAGTCATATCCTGCCTTCTCTAGCCCACAATAACAATATGTGAACTGGATATCTGCTTCAGCTTATACATTCATGTATCATTTATCACTGTGTTATTATGCCAATATAAAGTCAATATGCCAATATGCTAATATACAGTAAATAAAACTTCTTTATAGTTTTCCTATTTTAGCATTATCTGGTATTTTTTTCACATAACCTTAATTGATAAATCTAATCTTTATATTCAGACATAACCTTCAATTTTTTAAATATCCAGACATGGTGGTATTTTTCTTCTTCATACTGCTACTTGTTTATTTCCCTATTTTCTAATATTGCTTATGTCTGAAACAGTTGATTTATCACTTTTTCAAGTCATGGGTATGGGACCATATGAAATGCTGCACAGCCCTCTTTTCTCAAGCCTTCCGAAGCCTTCACTGAAAATGATCAAAGCAGTTTCATGCCACATACTAAATGAAAACAGTGTATATACTCCAATATAGACATAACAATTCCAAAAAGTTGTGAAAAAGAAAAAAAATGAAGGTAAAGGGATAGAATCCTGGCACATTGATTTATGTGACTTAGTTTTATGTGGTATCATAACCCCTATTCTTAAAACTCCTTCTCTTAAAGCATGCCCAGATCTAAGCTAGGTACTCTAAATCTTCCAAAGCATCATGATACATGCTTATTCTTGGAATTTTTAAAGTACTCTACAATCTGAAAAAGTATTTTTTTACGACTGACCAGAGAAGAGCATTTATATAAAGTATATCTGCTCAATGGAACTTTTTCCAGCTTGGTGCTTTTTGGGGGTTCCTCTCACATCCTGTTTGGAAATGAAGAAAATTTCGGTTTAAAAGAGCACCAAATTGAGAAAGAATGGTTTAATAAATCAGCCAGAGCTATTTTTAAAAGTGTAATGATATACTTCTACATGCCATTTTTATTGACCCCATTAATGATCAGTGACAAAAGAAGAAAAAAAATGATAACTGAATAAATTTAGCCATCTGTATAAACTTCATCCCATTATCCAGTGAATAACTATAAAAAGTTCTTGTACAAGGAAAGTGAAGGGTCAGACTTTTTGGCAATACCTCAATATTAACCTTGGATATAGATATATGAAAAGACTGTCCATCTCCATCTTTTTAATTTAGCCACCACTGCTCCACAATGTGGAAAACAGTAAGGAGTGAGTGCTCACTCAGGAGTGGAACTCTGTGTCTTGGTATCACCTAGGCAGATACCAACAACTCTCATGGGAGAAAGAAAGTAAAGCCAACTATAATGCATCATTAAGTTTCTCTGGTTCAAACAAACCGCTGGAAACATTTTCTGTATAAGTTTCTTAATTTTTTTTTTATAGTTCAAATGGAGGAAGTGCATGATAAGGACTGGTGGATTTTTTTTAACCACCCACTTTTAAAACAAAGACTGTATCCAATTCATGAAACTACAGAATGTGAACTTTCACATTAAAAAAAAACCCCTTCTGTTAAACATTGAGAGCAAATGTAGCAAACACTATGGTTTCAATACATGACCACGAACCATCACAACACCATGAGTAAAAATGTCCACATTTTGGGAGGAAACCAAGCCTTTGGGAGGAAGGGTATAATTACTCAATGGAATAAAAAATTTCTAGCTTGATGTCATTCATACGTCTTGGATTTCAAGTACCACAATTCTCAACAAATGTATTGAAAAATTGGATTAAGCTTAGAACTCTCCTCTGCCTCAAAGATGCCTAGTTTATTTACTCCCAATTTAAGGCGGTATAATTTGCCAGAAAATAACTACTAATGTTCTGAAATTTACTATGGTCATTATGGAAATGCTAACTCACTGCTCAGGGTTGTTGTTTTTAAGATAAAGCCTTATGCTGTCCATCTAATGTGTTGGCAAAGCAGCAAAACTGATACCACCATAACTTATTTTAAGCAGCACTATACAATTTTGTCAACTTGTGGTTTAAAAAAAAATCACCAAAGACTTAAGCCTTTAAGAGCACACAAAATGAAACCACAAAGAAAAGACAGGTAACTTTGGTGGAATATCAATGAAAACTTGCCATTTAAACAAAAAAGGATAGTGAAGAGTTGTTGAGGAGTGCCCTTGGAGCAGCATCCGGAGGTAAATTCAGAGTGCACCATACGACTAACAGGTAAATTGCTTATGATACAAGGAAAAAATGCTTGCATTACTGTTTACCAGTGACAGCTGCTTTCAAGAATCATCCTTCTTGGTATACATGAATCTGTTGAACTTCTTATATCAATGTGAGTTGAAAAATGTATTGAATTCAGATTTCTTCTTATTAATTCAGTCCTCTATTGTTAGTAGTAAAATGTCTTGTTAGTACTGTCATCTACAAGTGTAGCTCTTAAAGATCACAATAAGCAACATCGTTCTTTAAAACTCTTCTTATTCTTGCTGCTTTTTTTGCCATTCTTGTCTTTATTGTCTGACATTTTCTTGGATCTAATTTCTCTCATCAAATCAAAAAATACCTAAAAAAGAGAGAAAAATAGACAGTATTATCAGCATTTGGAACTGGCTGGTATAAAGGAGTAGTGCATGTTTTGAATTAATGCAACATACTATGAAAAAAGATAATAAATCCCTAAACATATTGTTTATTCACAATAGTGATTTTAAATGGCTAATTTTTAACCATGAAAAATTTATTACACAGGTAGTTAGTCCTCAACTGATAACAATTGATCCCAAAGTTTATGTTGCTAAGTTTTAGGTGAGTTTTGCTCCATTTTACCACCTTTCGTTACCACAGTTGTTAAGGGAATTACTGCAGTTGTTAGTAACACGGTTGTTAAATAAATCTGGCTTCCCCATTGACTATTGTCAGACCTTTGTCAGAAAGTTGCAAACGGTGATCACATGACCTCAAAACAGTACCCATCATAAACATGAATCAGTCTCCAAGTGTCCAAATTTTGATCATGGGACCATGGGGATGCTGTAACAGTCGTAAGGGTGAAAAACGAAAAGTTGCTTTTTTCAGCGCATTATAACTTCAAACTGTCACAAAACAAATGGTTATAAGGGCTACCTACCAACTATTTGGGTTTAGTGCAGAAATCACAGGAACTCTCAAGGAATGGCATACTTCAGTCACACTTAATTTTTCAGAGCTGGTAAGCAAGCTTACAAGATTCCAAAATTAAATGGGCAAGAGACAACCCAAGAGAAAAGGAGCCATTGTTGGCTGCAGGACACAATCCCAAAAGCGGACATCTTTTTCTGAGTTAAAAAATAATGCTGATGAAGCTCTCAAGTTTTTGTTTCCTCGCTATAGCTAAACTTAGCTCCACAAGCATTAGACTGGTGAAGCTAGATTTAAGCGAATGAAAGAAACTTATGAGGATTTGTTTTCCTCACTATTGAAAGCCATAGTTCTACTAACACTGGCAGAGCTAAAGCAAGTGAGGAAAAGAAAATGGACAGCTTTGCCAGTTTTATTTTTCGCTTGGAATTTGGGGACTATCTTTATGTAAACACATTTTATCTATTCTTACAAAACTGCAAGGAACCAATTGTGCTTCTGTTAAGATTTATGGCAATTATCACATTAATACACTGCTCAAAAAAATAAAGGGAACACAAAAATAAGGCATCCTAGATCTGAATGAATGAAATATTCTTATTAAATACTTTGTTCATTACATAGTTGAATGTGCTGACAACAAAATCACACAAAAATTATCAATGGAAATCAAATTTAGCAACCCATGGAGGTCTGGATTTGGAGTTACACTCAAAATTAAAGTGGAAAAAAACACTACAGGCTGATCCAACTTTGATTTCACAGAAGTGTGATTGACTTGGAGTTACATTGTGTTGTTTAAGTGTTCCCTTTATTTTTTTGAGCAGTATATATTGTAAGAGTATTTCACCAAATCTACAATAATTTCTACTATACAGGTAGTCCTCGACTTATGACCTGTTGCTTAAGGACTGTTTGAAGTTGTGACATACTTTCTCAAAGCTACTTACAACCCATTTTCAGAGTTATGATGCTGCACCCATATCCCATGGTCACATAATCCTATTTTTGGAGCTTGTCAACCAATTCTCTTTTATGGCCACTTGCAGCAACCCACAGTTAGGTGACCATGATTTGTTATATTTTTGTGTGTGATTCCTAGCATTTACTTCCACTTTCCAGCAAAAAAAAAAGGGGGGGGCATCAGGGAAAAATGGAATTGGTTAATGGCTGCCATGTTGACTTAACAATTGTCCTAAAGTGGTCGTAACTTTGAATCTAGTCACATGATGTCTTGACTTAAATACTGCAATGATTTACTACCATAATCCTGAGCTCAAGTCAAGGTTTGCCTGTATTGTGATAATATATATAATTTGAAGTTTGGGGAATAATTGAAGAAAAAAGTTGGCAACTGAGATATCCTTCTATTTACAAAAGGTAGCTATAGTTTATTATGTCACCATTTGCTCAAGTTCTTTCATTAAATCGAAGTGGTTAATAACTCTTACAGTGATTACTTTAAGATCTTCTATAAGATGTGGAGATCTCACAAAGTGCCAAATTCTTTTGCCTTACATTTATATACAAGTATAATTTAAGGGGGGGAAAAACCTGTCAACTGTGATCAGTCTCATTTATGAAACATTGCTGAATAGAAACTCTTACTTTACCTTATCTACATTTGCTCTTGTTTTTGCTGATGTCTCTACATACTGCACCCCCCACTCTTCTGCTTTACTTCGAGCAGCTTCTACAGGCACTTGTCGACGGTCCTCCAAGTCTGATTTGTTTCCCACTACTAGTAATGGTATTTTATCCTCTTCAGCTTTTACACGGAGAATCTGTTCTCTAGTACAAGCATATTAAAAGCAAAACAATAGATAAGGCCTTAATCAATATTTCCTGCTAGGGTGCAAAATGCATATATGTCAGAAGCAATAAGTGTGGTATGCCAAGGAATTGCAAAGCTATTGTGTACTACACTTACTGTCAAGCAGAAGAGTAGAGTTGCAGGTCCCAAGTACCAGAGTTCAATCTGGCAGGACCCAGATGGTATGCCTTTTTCCCGGTTTCCGGTCAAAATATAATATTTTACCGCAACTAACTGATGCAATCAATTGTACCAGAGGTGGTATTCAGCAGGTTCTGACCAGTTCTGGAGAACTGGTAGTAGAAATTTTGAGTAGTTCGGAGAACCAGCAAATACCACCTCTAACTGGACCTGCCCCCATCTATTCTTTGCCTCCCGAGTCCCAGCTGATCCACTGGGTCTTCTTTTGTTGCCCTGCACAGGAGAACCGAGCTGGAAAGCAGGTTAGTGGGATGGGGAGAGAATAGGATTTTGCAGTATCCTTCCCCTGGAGTGGGGGAGGGAATGGTGATTTTATAGTATCCTTCCCCTGGAGTGGGGTGAGAATTGAGATTTTACAGCATCCTTCCCCTGTCACACCCACCAATCCATACCACAGCCACCAAGCCATGCTCACAGAATTGGTAGTAAAAAAAATTTAATCCCACCTTTGTATTGTACCTATTATTTTATCTACACACACACACAAAATAGTTAAATATACTTTAAATGAAATTAAGTGGGAAGTATACACATTATACAGTCAGCACCACACTTCCCATCAACGAAACATAACACTATTAGCATAATCAGCTCAAAAAATTATTAGCTATTATTATTACTGTTATGCCAAAGCAATAAACAGCAAGATGAAGGCCAAATTACAGACCTTAAATTTATCATGTGAGCCTGCTGTAGAGGCTTTTAACTCTTAGTGTAGGGCTGAGAGACAAAGTGGCCCATCCACAAGGAAGGTCAAAACTCGGATCTCCCAGTCCAGCAATTTAACCATTATTCCACACTGGCTCCATAAAATAATATACTGATATAAAATGCAGTTGTGTTTCGCACAGTTACAGCTATTGCGAACATTTATATCAACAGAGGGAGAATTAAATAGTAAAAACTATTAGCTGCTCTACAAAATGCACCCCCACAGCCATATTTAATCAGTAGCCTTTGCCTCTTCAAATGTGTTAAGTATCTTCCTGTTCAGTTTAGCAGATGTTCAAAGCTTAATGCGTTCTGGAAATGAAAGGAAAGATGACATCTTTCTTTTGGACACATTATAGATTCAATCAAAAATCAAACTCCAATTAAAACATCTAGAGATCATATTTACCTAAATTCTGCTGTGGCTGTAAAGGATTCATGCTCAGTTATGGAGAAAACTAAGAGAAAACCTTCCCCACTCCGGAAATAGTTGTCTCGAATAGCTGCATAATCTTCCTGCCCAGCTGTATCCAGAATATCTATTTGGACTTCTTCACCATCTAGAACAACTTTTTTTCTGTAACTATCAGCCTTGGTTGGTTCATAGTCTTCAACAAACTAGAAAGCATAAAACAATAGTTAGAAATAAGTTTCTAGCACTTCTTTGGATGGCAAATTAAGTTATAGAGGATTATCCAATTAACATTAATAACTATTTGCAGCTCCAATGCGTATAGCACTGAAATCAAAATATTTCCTTCATTTATGTGTTAAAGATCTGCTTCAACTAATAATCTGGGGATAAAAACAATGTACTCTATTTTTTTAAAAAAAATCATCTTGTAGATTTCATAGGTAAAAATTCTGCTTTGGTTTATCGTAAGTAAAGGCAAATATTTATTCTGGAATGAAGATTCATGAAAGCCCTTCACGATAAAATCTATTGCCATTAGAATTTGTTCAAGCAATTCTAAGTCTACCTCTGAAGTCTTAAGCATTATCTATTTTTTTCTTGAGATTGCAGCCCAGTCAGATGTTATGCTTCTGTCACATTAGCATGATCCATAAAATGGGGTAAAATTTAGTATTAATAAGCATTTGTACATTGTATACTTCATTCTTGGTGGGAGACTGCAAATAGTATACTGACTTGCAAGGTAGCTTTTATATTAGAAATCCTACCTTACACAGAATTAAAATGCTTGGGAAAAACTGGGTTTGATTGTGCTCATGGCATACTAGTAAAAATGTCCAAACTGACCCAGGTGTCTTTACTATTAGCAGGAAATGCTTCATGTGGCATGGACAGCTAGTAACCTAATCTACTCCTTTCCTGTCTTACTGAAAAGTATTATGTGGGTATCAAAAGCCACATTGGATGGCTGATTTATGTGCCCCATCTACTGATAACCATGGCATGTAGAAAGTTACAACTTGAGTGTAAGAGAAGTAAATGACATTTAAGGGCATGAATTAAGGAAATGAAAATTAAAGAAAAACAATTATGTTCTATGCTGTGGAACTAAGATAAAAGAAGAAAGGAGTAATAAATTTGAATGAAGGCATAGTTGAACTAATGGAATGGAGATGATGAAAACATATAAATCAAAGTGTAGATGTAATTATGAAGTATCTAAAATGTATGATTTTGATATTCATAACAAACACATAAATGGATAGCATCTAGATTGTTGTGGATGACTATAATTGTAGGCTGGTGATAACTGTGAGTTACAATCTGGTGAATAATAAGCACTCTAGTAAATGTTGATAATGAAATGGTAAGGAAAAACTGTAGCAAAAATTATACAATATTTTAAATGAATTTTCTAAAATCCATGATCAATTATAAAGATGACCATTAGGAAAATATATGCTTAGAAAAAGGCATGTTTTAAATACAGGTAGTCTTCTAGTTATGAATGTAATGGAGCCTGCCCATTACATTTGTAACCCAAGGATTCATGGGAGTGAATATCAGCGAGGCCTGCGCAGGCCTAAACGGAGGTACAGAGGGATGGGCCCGCCCCTCCAAATCTCCATTTTGGCCTGGAATGTGCTGGGCAAGGCCTGCGCAGGCCTAAATGGAACGTTGGAGGGGCAGGTCCACCCCTCTGAACCTCCATTTTGGCTGGCAAAGTGCAGGACAAATGTTGCAGAGCCTCTGCGGTTATTCATAAGGGTGAACAACTGCTGGGATGCTGCAAGATTCGTAGTTTCGGGACTTGTTCCTAAACACTAGGGGATGCTTATCATGTAACTTTGAATGTTCGCTAAAGAAATGCTCATAACCTGGGGAATTACCTGTATATAGTTTAAGTCAATACATATGTATACATAGAAGAATGAATGATTAAGTATGACTACTTTGATAATTTGATAGTAGATTAAAGATTACTGGCATCAGGAAAGAGTATAATGGGGATGAGAAGTTCTCAGTTTAAGTCAGGCCATTGTTTCTGGCAGTGTCAACAATAGATCTTCAGAAAATGGGCATAAAACCTCCAGAAAAGTAAAAATAATTAGACAGAAAGTAGAAGGGGAGAAATAAGAGCTTTATGTGGAAAAATGTAGAAGATAAATTAATTTCCTAATAGAATGAATAAATGTAGGGAAAGAGAATGAAAAAACTCCTTGGAGAGAATACATAGAATTACTCTAGGAGGACGCAAATATGAAATAGTAGTGAGAACTTGAAGTATGAAAAACAATTCCCAGCAGAATCATTAAATGAAAGAAGACATGGATGAGAAACACGCCCAGCAAAGAATGACTGCTGTAAAAGAGAAAAAGAATGTATGTGTGCAAGAACAAAAGTTTGAAAGGATGTAATCAAAGAGAGCAAGGAATACTTAAGAAAAAAATGACAAAGGCCAGAACAATTTTGTATATAAATAATTACAACATGACTAAGGCCAGAACTGACATGAATGCTGTCTATGTTGGTGAAAACAGGCTGTTAAAATGTTGAAAATAGTAATGCTGCAGGAATAACTGGTGTACATGGAAAAATGTAGCAGTATGGCTCTTTTAAAAATTTATGCCACTTTCTTATATATGATTACATTCTTAAGAGAACTAAGAAGTTTAAAAGCAAAAAATAAATGTATGAAGTGGTATACTGGTTTTGGAAAAAATATAGTTTCAGGGATAAAAAGTTATAAAGAGATGTTATTTTACTGATTATTCTAGAATGCTTCTTATATTTAAAACCCTGAGATCTAATAAACAGATCTAATAAACAGAATAAAATTATATCTCTTTCTGAAAAATGCTCTACAAATTTATGGTCTTGTATTGATATCCCACAATGCACAGTAAAAGCAGTTTAGTGCAGATTTAGTACATCATTTTAATACCTATAAATAGAAAAATGACAAATATCTTACCTCATCATACATAAACTGAAGTGTAAGTGCTGATTTGCCCACGCCTCCACTACCAACCATGATTACTTTGTGAAGGGCAAGAGAGCTTTGACTTTTTGCCTTACTAGCAGCCATTTTTAATATAGTTGTCAGGTATCAGCTGAGTAGACTGATGAGCTAGAAGCCAAAAAATAGATGTTTTGTTATTCAGATCAAGAATTTAATCACCAGAATGACAGAATTATCTGATGCAATCAGACAAAATTTCAACTATGTCACAACCTTTGAGAAGGACTAAATAAATATTGATGCTTTAATTGCAATTTCATCTGGATAAACATTGAAACAATTTAGAATACAATATGATGAATAATTATTAGGCTTTCCTTATAATTCTAGTACGATTTTGAATAAGTATTTGCAAAATCCTATTTCCCTTTTCAAATGGCAAACTTATAATTTCATTTGAAAAGACATTGAGTTTGGCTTCAACTATAGTGTGTAAAGAAGTTAATTAAGATACATGCAATTTTAATTTCTGTTAAAATGTCAACTTTGTAATTTAGTTGACATTAGAAACAAATATGATGAAATAGAAAAGAAAAAAATATAACCTTTAAACTTGCTCATAGTGCACTAAATATTTGATACCTATTTTAAAGTTTGGAGAACTCTCCTAAAATAGATTTTGAAGGCATAGAGGGAATTGCTGGGAAGATGTGAAAATATTTTCTGGCAATGCATGGGAAGAAATAACTGCATTATCTATCATGGAAATTTATCACTGAATTGTGCCCCAAAAGCTGGAAAGTTCCCGTCAACCAAATCTTTAACATAATGTATATTATAAGAGGAACAGAAGAGGGGTTATACTGGAAGTTTGATGCTTTTGTCTGTGTAAAGGTCAAATTATGACTAGTCATTAAGCTAAAGTTATGACAGATTCCGCAGGGCTACATATGACCCAGATTTGAAGTTCCAATGACTGGACACCCCCTGTGGCCATATTTTGGATTCTTGGCAACCAGCTCGTATTTACAACTCTTGGACATGTGACTGCAATTTATGATGCATTTTACCAGAAACTGGCCTTTATTTCCAGTTTCTGGCAAAAAAAAAAAAAGCCCACTGAAAACAGTGGATTTGCTTAAGACCGCCAGGTTCACTTAACAATAGCTACAACAAAAATTGTAAACTCAGGTACCCACTTAATGACTGGCATAACTTAAGTGCATAATTCTAGACTCAACTACTTGTGCAATGTATTTATTTATTTTCTGTGAGGCTCATAAATTGAAAGAAATGTTAACATCAAAATTGGCCATACAGTACTATATAACACAGACTGCAAGACTATTGAGTCTTCTTACGCTTACTTGATACTCAAAAATAGCAAAATACTTTGAAATTCTTATAGTTTTCTCCACATTCATTCAGATTTGAATATTTTCCTCAATTAATAGAAATCTCCCTGAGATAATTTAGATTTTTAGGAATTGCCCTGTAGAGATTAGAGTTGGATAATCAATAGTTTCTGCTAAACAGCATGGTTGGGCATCATAACAGAGAAAGTTGCGATGCCTGTCCACTACAAGAGCATTCCCCTAGAGATCCATCAATATTCTAAAACCCCAATTGCTTTCCCAGACCTTGTACTAAGATGGGTGCGTTGTGGATGGGTTTTCCCAAACATAATCCCCCCCTTTTAAAATTCTTTTATTTTTTATAGTATAAGTTGAATGCACTTGTCTGGAATAGTGTGGCTTTCTATGTTTAATTAAATACCTTTCATATTAATGAAATAACCACAACATAGTTTTCAATCCATATCATATAAGATTTATGTAAGGATATAAAATATTTAATGGCTTTCAAATTTGATTTCCTCCTCAGATTTGCTCAGAAATTCTACTTTTATTATCATTGACTCTAATCAAGCAAGCAGCTACAATCTTCCTTCTTTCACTTGCCATGCAGCTGGCATTGCACGATTTCTCAAGCCAGACTGCAACTGAAAGCGGTCATTCTTTAAGAACAGAGTTTGGGCCACTGATCTATATTGATACACAACACTTTTGTAAAAGCCTTCTAGTACTCCATTTCTAAGACAATTTAACTGTTAACATGAAATCAGAAACTGCAAAACTAAACATGTGAATTCTATTTTCTCTTATTGTATATCTGATAAAAAGATGAAGCCAAATGGATTATAGTATTTTAGGTGGCTCAATTATGTACAACATAATGATTCAGAGTTTATATTCACAAATTCTACTGAAACATTAAATTTTAAGACATGACTTTAGAAATCAAAACCTTTCCTATTAGCACAAGAATAATAAATCTCTCCTTGCTCCTTCCCTCTCAATTTTCATTGCAGTCAGAAAAGAGCAAAGATGTTTCAGTTCATATTCAATGTTCCTCACTAAGAGGAGTTGTTCTGGAGTTGGCCCAAATTCATGTTCACTGCGTTGATGACGCTATCTAACCACCTCATCACTCTGCCATCCCCTTCTCCTTTTGCTTTCAATCTTTCCCAGCATCAGGGTCTTTTCCAAGAAGTCCTCTCTTCTCATTTGGTGGCCAAAGTATTTGTTCTTCCAAAGTTAGGGAAGACTTACTTTAGGATTGACTGATTTGATCTTCTTGCAGTCCAAGGGACTCTCAAGAGTCTTCTCCAGCACCACAATTCAAAAATGTCAATTCTTTGGTGCTCAGTCTTCCTTATGGTCCAATTCCCACTGCCATAGAAGATCATAGCTCTGACTCTACGGTCCTTTGTCAGCAAGATGATGTCACTGCTTTTGAATATATTATCTAGGTTTGTCAAATTTTTCCTCCCAAGCAGCAACCAACTTTTACAGGTAGTGCTTTACAATCACAGTCAAGCCCAAAAATTATGTTGCCAAGCAAGAGAGTTGTTAAGTGAATGTTGCCCCATTCTGAGACTTTGCTTGCCACAGTTGTTAAGTGAATCACAGTTATTAAGTTAATATCCTGGTTGTTAAATGAATCCAGCTTTTCCATTGACTTCCATTGTCATAAGGCCGCAAAAGGTGATCACATGACCCCAGAATACTCAACATCATAAATATTAGTTAGTTACCAAGCATCTGAATTTTGATCATGTAACCAATGGGGATGCTGCAACAGCCATAACTGTGAAAAACAGTCATAAGACTTACATCATAAGTCATCATACATAAGTGTTACATCAAGTGACTGCAACTTGTGACTTGATGCTAGCTTCCATAGATTGTGTTTGTTGGAAGCAGATTGCTAAGGTTGCAAATGGTGATAATGTAACTGTGGGACATTGTAATTGTTGTAAATGTGTGTCAGTTACCAAGTGCTCAAATTGCAACTACATGATTGCAGGGAAGCTACCACAGCTGTAACGTTGAGGACCACCCATAAGTCTCCTTTTTTAACACCTCTGTAACTCTGAGTGGTCATCGAACAAGTGGTTGATAAGTGAGGATTACATGCATAAGCATGAATTAACAATTTTCCTACCTGTAGGTCACTAACTCTTTCACTTTCTTTATTAGAGAATACATATTAATTTATGCCAAGGGTCCTCAAACTTGGCAAGTTTAAGCCTTGTGGAGTTCAACTCCCAGAATTCCTGAGCTAACATGACTGGAGGAGGAATTCTGGGAGTTGAAGTTCACAAGTCTTAAAGCTGTCAAGTTTGAAGACCCCTGATTATGCAGTTCATTGTGACCATTATCTCCAAAGCAATATAATTCGCATTAGCAAGAGTTCACAGTCAAACATATATATAGCTGCATTTATTAAAGTCATACATTTGAAGAAAAGTATAAAATTTGGGTCATGCTGCTGGTCCCAAACCATTAAATTTAAGTCATGTGATTGCTATTTATATGATTAGTTACTTAATTTTGTGGAAGAGGTACTTCAATTTTTCAATTTTTATTTGGCGCTTTTCAATATATCTAAATAAGATACGCAGAGCTATTTTTGCTTCTCTCCTGTATCACTTAATCTTGAATAGCTCAGAACATTAACAACATAACAGTATATTTTATGTACCAGAAATGCATTCATGAAATAAATTAAATACATCAAGGTAACTCTATTCTTGTATCTCATGCTATAGAAATATCTCCCTTTAATACTTTGTTCAATATAAAGAAATCCTTTTTTATACAATCCAAATCCTAATTCTGCCTGACTTTGCTGCATCTTTTAAACAAGAACATACTTCATTCTTGCTCAAAAGTTTATGTTGCTTTAAATGCAAATTTCTTCAAGAGATAAAAATGATGAGCAATAACCAACAGTACCTGCATTCTTCCACATTTAAAAACCCACACACAAATGTTGCCATGGCTACATGCTATCATTTTGCCCTGTGTTTACAACCATAATGCTATTCAGCAAAACTGAAGACACATACTGCCTTTTTGTGTATGGGATGAACAGCCAAGCCTGTTCAGTGACCAAACCTAAAAGTTTAAAGAGATACATGCTCACAACTCATTAATGATGTAATCAGAATTGGCACACTGAAGAGGAAAAACAAGCTTATATGCTAAGCTCCATCAACATCATAAGAACTTTAAAAATGACAAAACCAGGCTCAAATAGTGATGCAACGTTTTGGGTAAATGTAATCTTCAGGTTTCTTGATTCTATTATCTCCTTGAAATAGACACCTAACATTAGAATCATCATTACAAAGGCAGAACAAAGAATGTTCTGCCTGCATCAATTCAGAAAGCTCAGATTGCCCAAGGACCTGTGGATACAAAGTTATGATAGAAGCTGTCATTTGTTCCTCAATAACTGTCTGGTTTGGCATAGCAACCAAACAGGACAGGTACAGACTTCAACGGATAGTTAGGACTGCAGAAAAAACAATTGCAACCAGCCTTCCTTCCATTGAGGATCAATATACTGCACAAACCAGAAAGAGGGCTGAGAAAATATCTACAGACCCCTCACATCCTGGACATAAACGGTTTCAATTTCTTCCCTCAGGACACCACTATAGAGAACTGCATGCCAAAACAACTAGACATAAAAGTAGGGGTTTTGCCCATGCCATCACTCTGCTGAATACTTCATTCTCACAGAACTGCCTCATTTCTCATCTCTCCTACTATCTTCTATTGGTTTCTTATGATTTATCAATTGCTGTTTGGAACTTATGATGAATGATTGTAACCATGATTATGGACCTATTCACTTGCTGTTTATATGTACACCATGAGCTTATGCACAGGAGACAAATTTGTTGTGTGTCTAACCACACTTGGCCAATAAAGAATTCTATTTCTATTTTTTTATCAGGTTTCCATCCAGCAATCAACAATCTTGACATTTTTGTGATTGGGATTCAAACAATCTAGAAATGGCATAATACAAATCTAGAGACTTCTTCAGAATTTTAGATCATAGATTGCTAGCGAATGGCAATCTTGGATAACTAAATGCTCTTGTCCCTCCATCCCTATATAACATTTAAAATTACTAAAACGTCAGTCTAATCCTAAAATTGGAACCACTTGGTCCAATCACAATGAAAGTAGTTTTGATCTTAGAAACTTGGATTGGGATTTTTTTTTTCACCTTGAAGATTTTGTCTATTTCTACATGGTGTTAATAGTGAAGTAAAAATAAAACTGAGGTCACCAACCAACAAACACTGTAAGCTAAGGTACACCAACTTAGCTTCTTTAAGATGTCCCTTGAAAGGAAGGGTCTGCCTTCCTCAATTGGGTATTCTCAAGATACATTGGGAAAATAACTCCCCAAATTCCCAAACTGAATTGAATCATAGTTACCACAAAGTTACCATGCTGGGAGACGCTGCCTTGGCACTTTGTACATAATGAACCTAAATGTTGAATAAAGTATCTCATCATCCTGGATTCACAGGTAACAGCAATGAGATTTGCTGTTTCATGACTTTAAGCAAAACAAAAACCTCAAAACACTTAAGGAAAGTCGCAAGAAAAGCCTGAAATATATTCCAGCTGCGGGTGTTAGAGCATGAAAATAATTGCAACTAAAAGTTCTAATTTAAAGTGTTGGCTATGTATGGACTCTCTTTTATAACAAGCCAGTGTTATAATGATAAATTTTTCTAACAGCTAATATGCATGATTCTTTAGGAAATATGAATTTCTAATAGGATATTACATTTAAACTAATCTATCCTATAAGTGCAATAATTTTGAAGTACAATATGTGTTATTGTTACATCTTATAAACTGAACTATAGCTAAACCCAAAAAGATTGTAAGTAAAAATATAGTTTTCAGTGATCTGAAAAAATAATTTCTTTCTACAGATGGATTTATGTATTATCCCATTCTACAGCCATCCACACTTTGGTTTAGCATTATCACTGAACCAGATCAATATTAATGGGTTATAAACCTACTTGGAATGAACAACTAGAATAAGATAGTGGTGATAGGGATGGTATTTTCTTTCAAAATAAATGAAAGAAAATGTTACCTCCAGACAGGTAGTCTTTAACTTCCAACAGTTCATTTAGTGACCAAAGTTTACAAGGGTACTGAAAAAAGTGACTTATGACTGTTTTTCACACTTGTGATTGATGCAGCACCCCCATGGTTACATGATCAAAATTTGGATATTTGGCAACTGACTCTTATTTATGATGGTTGCAGTGTCCATCATTCACTGGCTGACCTAAACAACAGTCACTCAACTACAAATTTCTAGTACATGAAAAGTATATTTATAAATTCTGTCATTTTCTGAAGTTCCAAACAGTAATTTCTGAAGGAAAAATCACATTATTATATATTCTATGGTTATATACAACTGTAAAAATGTATGTATACCAAGATATCAATTAGTCCCATTTGTCTCCTATATGCTCAATCAAATCTGTTATATCCCGGCTTTCCCAAACAGACAAAATTTGACAAAACAAGATTGAAATCAATATACCAACCTCAGATTTACTGGCTATTTCCATTTTTTTTTTCAGTGAAATATTAGAACCTCATCTAGTAGATCTCTTCTTTCTTTCTGAATGGCAAAAGAGTCCCTAGTCTAGCCCTTCCTTACCTTTCGTTTATCTAGCAGTTTTGTGTTCTCAACTTACTGAAGCATTAAGCATCTGTGTAACACTAGCTAACATGCCTCAGCACATACAAAAAACAAGCAGTAATCACACAAGTCTGTATTTTGCAGTGTCTATAATGAGGAGGGGCCAGCCAGAAGTTGTACAAAATAAAAGAAAATATTACCTCATGGCACAAAAGAATGTCAGGGAAAAAAAGAGCTAAAAATATTGAGGCCTATATTAATAGCCTTAAAACCAGCAAAAGCAATTTTTTTAAACATGTCAGAATTAAGACATTGGCCAAAAAGACAGCTGAACCTATGGAAAACCAAGGAGTTCAAATACTACTAAAGAAGGATAAGGAGACTGCAGAAAAAATGCAAGAATGATTAGTATCTGTCTTCACTGCTGAGGATAAATGGCAGATATCCATGCTTGAAATGTATAGGTATAATCTGATACAATGTTATATTTGACTTCCAAAAAAAGTCCAGCATCCCTTGACAACATTCTTTAGTGTATAATTTAGTAATCATAAAACACAGCATTATAAAGTTATCTATTAGACTAGAGAACAAAAAAGGAAACAATGCAAACAGTGGAGTTTCCCTAGGAATCTGTACTGAGATTGAGAGAGATCTACTTTTGTTTAAATAAGAGTAACACAACCAAAGATTTCCAATTCAAGCGCTGTATTTATCCAAATCTGACCTCCATGAATGAGACACTACCAAATTGGAAATATTTTCTAGCAGATTAGAGGTTTTCGAACCTAGGCAGCTATAACATATAAATAATAATAATTTGAACAATTCCAACCATAAATAACCATGCTTTTTATTCTAACAAGCCAGCTTAATGCGGAAAATACACCAAGACAGTTCAGAAAGGCAAGCCCTTTTCAATGAAATCCAGAAAGGAATAGGGAGAGCAACAAATATATGATCTGTTGACACTTCATAATGACTTTACCCATCACCTCAGGTTCTTGCATGGGTCCCTATTATCTCCCCTGTTCATGGCAGAAAATAGTAACATGGTATCATTGTCCATAGTTAAGTAAAAAGAAAAAAGAAATCTTGAGGCCAATTTGCTACCACATCCTAATGCACTAAAAGTGGAAGCGAGATTTGACTGGGGAGGTCTGCTAAAAATCCAACCCCCACTTTTATGCTGGACTAGTTCTCTATAATCAACCTTTTTACAGATCGTTTGCCCCCACCCACCCCCCAAAAAACCCCAGGTACTTTAAAGGGGCATTTCTCCTCGCACGGAAACTCTTAATATGGGTAAATACACTTACTCCCATTATTTCCATTTACCCTCAGCTCAATGCAACACCCGGGTCTCGCAGCCTTTACAAAAAGGGATGGTCAGTGGCGTAGCCCTACGGACACATTTGGAGCCCCCACCCCGGACTGAGCGGCTTGCCAAAGACACCCCCCCTCACAAAAGGCTACCCCACCACCTTCTCTTTCCGCCCAAAAGGACCCAAGGCAAAAGCCCTCAGTATCCATAAAAAAAAAAGGCATCCGAACCACCTAAAGTTCCGCCGCCATTACGGGGTAAGAATGGAGAGGAAGGGAAAGGGAAACGATACAACCCCCCACTCCCCCTTTAAGGGATTAGTTACACCGATAAAGTACTTTCGTTGCCTGAGGGCTTTTCTATCAGGTCTACCGCAGGAGGAGGGGGAAGGGGGGGGCAATTTTTTTCCCCACACACACACCAACCCCGGGTTCGTTCCCAACTGCAATGCCACAAAATGGAAAACAAATGCCCAACCCCCGAAGCACTCTCTTCCCCTTTCCTCTCCTCGGCGGCACAAACAGCGCTGACGGCCGCGGCAACCTCGCTCGCCTTTAAAAAAGAGAGAGAGAGAGAGAGAGAGACAGAGAGAGGCTTGAAACTAGGCTGGCTCTTCTTTCTTGCCCGTCTCCTTCGCTCTCGGCTTCTCCGAAAGAAAGAGAAGCGCGGCATTTACCTTCCCGTGGCGGGGCGGCGGTCTGGGTATTGGTTGACTTTAAAAGCTGCCGAGCAAAAAACAAAACAAAACCCCAAGGTTCTCCCCCTACCCGAGGCCGGTCGGCTTCAGCGCCGCTACCCTCGCTTTTAGGGAGGCTGATATTAGCAGCAGCAGCAGCAGCATCAAGCGCTACCGCCTCGCGCACCCTCTCGTGCACGCGCTCGTTACCGCCCCGATGGAGGAAAGCCGTGCGCCCGCGCGAGCCTATAATTCCCCCGGATTCTCGACTTGCGCGCGCAGCTGCTTCCTTTTTTTTTTTTTTATTACCAACGTGGCGCGCTCATTGATGTCGCGGGTCAAAGCAAAAGCGCAGCGTCTTTGTTTGCATTCGCTCCACCCCTTTCTCTGGACTTCGCGCCCACTCCCGCCCGGCTCTCGAGCGCTTTTTTTTTTTTTTTTTTACAAGCCGCTTCCAGGAGCCATCCGCGTCCGACGATAAGGGGAGAAAAGAAGCGTGCGTCTCAAGCACGTGACCCTCTCTTGTCCAATTGGAGGTAGAAGAGGATTGGTTGAACTACCAGTACTAGAGAATGGATTACTATAGAGCGGATGAGCTTCTAGCAAGAAGATAAGGGTGTCATGTACTGTAATCATTCAGTGTTGGGAAGGTCTGGCTAGTGGCTACCCTTAAGGATACGCGTAACGACATTGTTTGTGCTCCCTTCATGTTTCGACAAAGAGACAAGGTGCTCTTTTTTCATCCTGGCCTTTTGAATTGGGTTTAGGCTAATGTTAGTATGGATTTTTGCTTGTGTCTCAGTTGTGCATGTTTTCCTTCTGCTGCTTTAGCTGTGCTTTTATCTCGTTTTATATTGTTGTTCCACTGGATTGGACTGCCGAAACGGAATGTTGCTGCAGCTGATAGGTTTACATGGGTTTTCCTTATTTATTCAATTTTCATAGCCAGGCTGTTCTTTAATATTGAGAAAGAGTGAGTTGGTGTTTCATATTCACACCTATTAACACATCAGCTCTTCTGTCTTAATCCATTACAGCTGGTAGAAATTTGTCAGTGCTTTTGAAATTATCGCTTCATGAGAAGCTGAAGTGCTAAGCAGTTAATTATGTCAATAGTAAAGCACTAGCACATATTGCATAGTAAAGCACTAGCACATTCTGTGTGTAAAGTCTTATTCGTGCTTTCAATTAACATGAATTCTTAATGGGCCATTTCTTAGAGGCTCTAGAGCTACAATGCTTCTCTTATGGATGTTTCTACTATATAGGGACAGTTTCAAATCTGTGATGTTGCTGAATGTCATTTACTGGATTTTGGTTTGAAATTGATAAAAATAGGCCTTGAAAGCTATGATTCCAGGCCCAAGATTGACTCAGCCTTCCATCCCTCTGAGGTGAGTAAAATGAGGACCCAGATTGTTGGCGGCAATATATTGGCTCTGTAAACCACTTTAGAGAAGCTGTAAAGCACTGTGAAGTGGTATAAAAGTCTATAAGTGCTATTGCTATTCTGTCTGGACCTGAGATGCAACTTTGTTGTGTTGCTGAATGCTTTCAAACATTGCATTAAACAATGATATGGTTTATCTAGGTTTGGCATAGCTTGGTCTGTGAAACCAGCCATTATGGCTTGTAATCAGTGGCTTGTGATTTATGTGTGAAACCAAACGTGGCTTAACTTAGCAAAACCTGATTAAGCTAACCACAGTTTATTAGAATGCAATGCTGTAATTAAACAATCAGATTAAAAGTTCCATTGAAACTTTCAGATTTTTGCATAAATTGAAGCATTTGATGATATTCCAAATACAAAATAACCAACCACATTTTAATCTAGCATGTTTATACAGTTGGTGTGTACTTCATTGTGTTTGTCATGCATCTGTCAGAGTCTGAATCCGAGGAGGAAGATGAACAGCTGACAGGGAGTGGGAGTGTGGCTCCGTTGGCTGTGAAGAAAACTGGGGAAGGACAAAGTCCGCTGGGCAGAGCAGGAGAAGGTAGAACAAGGGAGAGGGAGTTTAGAAGAACTCCCAGGCTCACCCCCTCTTCATCCTAGGGCACTCAGGGAGGAATGGAGAAGAGAGCAATGTGGGTTGCATGGCTTACAGGGAGGAAAGGGCCCTGATTCCCTTCATTAGCCATACCTGGGAATGAGAATTTAAAAGAGATGCAAGCTGCTGGGAACAAATGTGAGTTTATCTTGTGTTGACTTTGATTATCTGCGTTCCTGGCATCTTCCCAACTAGGTTGAATTACTGCTATTCCTTCACGTCTGGAATTCCTTCTCTTGCTCTGCTGGACTAATTACCTCATCTTGCTTTGATTATAGTTACAATTTTTTGTTAACCATGTTTTGAACTTGATAGTCTACAGCCAAAGGGTGTTCCTGGGAGAGTTTTTCTCCAGCCAGAAGGTAATCAGGACATTAGGGGCAAAGCTGGAGCTAATAAAAGGACTCCTACTGATTATCTGACTATGGTGCCTTTGTGCCATGCCCTGGGTCATCACAGTGTCATTATGAATCAAAATAACAATGAATTATTATTACATTGCCAGTATGAGTTGCTGAAATGTCAGCAATAATAAAAAAAAACCTCCATAGTAGAAAAGATTCCTTTTTTATGTGTTATTGTTACACCTGAAGTCTGTATTGTAACATTCTTGAGCATCAGTATGTCCAATAACTCTTATCTTGGCATCAGGCAATCTCCATTTATTTTCATTATTATTGTGCTTTCAAGTCAATGGGGACTCCGGGCAACTGCCTGGATTAGTCCTTGAAGTTTTCTTGGAAGTGGTTTGCTCTTGCTTATTTCCAGGGGTGGGATTATCCCGGTTTAATAACCGGTTTGGTGATCACACACTTTGCGTGCACAGCTTTCAAAATTACTTATCTTCTATGTTACTTCTGGGGAGTAACACAGCTGAGATGCGGCAATCTGCTCTGCCGCACGTATCAGCTGAAAGGATATAGGTAAGTACAGCGCAGGGGCAGGTGGGCGGGCCAACCTGATCGTTGGAGATAACTGGTTCGCTGACCATTGGAGCTAGAGGTTCGCCTGAACCAGGAAAATCCCACCCCTGCCTATTTTCTTGGGCTGAACAGGAGTGGCTCCTGGTCACCCAGATGGCTTTCTGCCTAAGGCGGGACGAGAACTCACAATGTCCCAGTTTCTAGCCTGGTGCCTTAACCACTACACCAGATTAGCTCTCTCCATACCGACTTGATTTTCATTTCTTCTTATAAAGCCCTTTGATTAAAACGAATAAAGAAGTAGCATGTTGCAAAACAGAACTGCTTCTGGTTTGGTGAGAAGATTCCTGATAAATGAGTGATTGGGTGTGCTCCCTGGGACAGCTATTCTATAAGAATGCCCCTGACATGTCAAAATTCCCAGCCCACAAAAGGTTGAGAGCATATTTTATCTTTAAAATATCTTTAAAACTGTACCTTGTTACTAAAATTGCACTGAAATAGATTTTCTTTCCTCCAAAACCAGTTCAGTTCTATGCCCTTGCTTACCAGGTGGTCTCTATGAATTTGGGCAGGGGATTCTGAAGTGCTAGCAATCCTTGAAGATTATTCACTATTGAGAAGTGGTTAATATTTTTCTTATGGCTGTTTTTGCATGAAGACTATGTTAGCCTAACATGTTGTGCAAACATAGAAAATGATTCATTAATGATTCAATGTATGATGTCTGCTCAAAAATTGGAATACCTGAGCAAATACACTTCATTTGGGGGGAGAAAGATTTTTCATTTGGTTTTTTTCTCATCCCTTTTACTTATGCTCCATTCTAATGTGCTAATGCCTTTTGACAAGCACATCAGCATTCATTTTCTGACCGAAAAAGAAAAAAGGTCACTTGTGTCCAAAAATGAAATGAATAACTGAAAATGGATGGGTTAGAGATTTAGACTGACAATTTTGACTTGACTAAGTTGTTAACTGAAATTTAAAGTGTGAGAGCTTGCAGGCTTGGCAGTATTCATTTGTCCAAAAGATCATTGCACATTATAATTAATGCAGAAGAATTGGGATCAGGATAGTACCCATCCTTTTTAAAAGTTCCATTTTTATTATGTCTAGTTGTCAGCAATTAGATATAATAAAACTTGGGAGAATGGAGAAAAATGTGAGAGAAATTATATTAGATTTCTAATGAAGAGAAAGGAAAAAAAAACCCTTTTTGGATATTTGAGTGATTGAAATTATGTATGGGCTAAAATACATATTCCTTAATCATTGTTTTCTGTATAAATCACAATTGACTATTCAGCCACAATTTAGAAACTGGAATGAATGGGTTCCCACATTGTTTATTTTTATTTTTATTTATTTTATTTGTTTGTCAAACATGTACAAAATAACAAGTATAGGTATGAACATAAACATGAACAAAGGAAGTAAATATAGATAAATGGGGACAGTAAGACAGGGACGGTAGGCATGCTGGTGAGCTTATGCACGCCCCCTTTCTGGACCTCTTAGCAATGGGGTGAGGTCCATGGTATACAGTTTGAGATTGAAGCTGCGGTTGGATAGAGCATTCCAGGCGTTGACCATTCTGTTGCTGAAGTCATATTTTCTGCAATCGAGTTTGAAGCGATTATTGTGTTGATACATCATGTTTCTGGCTTTGATTTGGCATGTAAACTAAGTTAATAAAAGTACTCTATGGAAACATCTCAAAATCATTTAGAATGCTGTCCATCTTTTGAAATGCTGTTGGACATATTTCCTTTACAATCAGTCAGATTTCGGAAATAACAGCTTCAATGCAAATGACCAGCTGTCTGCAAGGAGTATAAATCCTTCCATTCCCCCACCATCCAGTCACAGCTGAAGAAGCTTTTTGGATGAGAAGCGAAACGTCTTCAAATAAAAACCAGAAAGTCCAGTTACATCTTGCAGAAAGCACCTTTTCTCAACAGCTCCAATGCTTTCATAAACAACCTGAACAGCCCAGGCTCGGCTATTCTTAATACATACTTCAAAAGGGGAAAGAATCTTAACTATTTGATTTTATGTTAGCCATAGCACTACGTGAATTCTAAGGTATTGCAACTCCAACCATGGCATCTTTAATTATAAATAGCAAGAACTAGCCAAGATCAAATCCTGGCTTCAGACCTGGCATCTTAAACTGTAGCTATTAAAAGCAAAACTTTTGAGGCTATCCTGCTGTCTCTTAAAAAAAGAAAGAAAGGA